GGGGGGTCTCAGCAGAGCGGGGCAGAGGGGCAGAATCCCCTCCCTCGCCCTGTGCCCACGCTGCTGGGGATGCAGCCCAGGGCATGGCTGGCCTGCTGGGCTGCCAGCACACACTGCTGGGTCATGCTGAGCTTCTCATCTTAATCAGAATGCCTTAATCAGACATTCTTATTGAAAGAGGGAGCCAAGATTTGTATCAGGAATCTTTGTGATATAACTTTAAAGAGCTTTGAAATAAAATGTTTTCATGCTGTTACCTTCACTATGTTTGCAACAACAAAGCCTTGATTGTTCTCTGTATCTGATAACAGCTGCTTAATGCCACTTATTCGATCACGGAAGTCTTTTGCATTCAATAAACCTATCATGTCTTTAACATATTCTTCACTTTCTAGTGAATTACGAGGTGCTGTTTTTCTTGTGACTTCACGGGCTTCTGTAGTCTCTCTGTTGGAAATGAAAAAGTTATTCAGTGAACACATAAGCAAGCTGAAACAAGAGTCTTTAGTCTAAGACATTCTCTTTACAGGTAAGTGCAAATATCAAAAGTAAACAGAAAATTTTCTGACGAAGGACTTTCACCTTAAACATGGTCATTTAAAAAAATCACCCAATCGTGGCTGCTGTTCCTAACGTCTGACTATGCATTGCACTCTGAATGCACACATACCTATCTGATGGGGGATAAGCCTCCACGAGGCAGGAGCCCTGTGCCGTTCCAAGTTTCTGTACGAGAGCAGCTGGGTTTGTGACCCGTAACAATTGTGAACTTCCCTCACAAACAAAAAAGTTATTGTAGTTTAATTTTTTATTCTCAAAGTACTTTAAACGCTGATCCCAGTCTGGGCGGCACCTAAGCAACGTACCATGCTGAGGTGGAAATTCAACAACTCTTCACAGAGGACTTTGAGACAAATTTTCTGTAGTATCTAATCTTATCAGACAGTCATGGAAAGAATTATAAAAACTGTGGAATCACTTTTCTGTCCAGATAAGTATCCTGCATTTACAGACTGGTCCAGGTAGAGTCATCAGTTCATTCCAAATTCATGAACAGAAGCCTTTGGTGGAGAATAGAATAAGCATTTTGCTTGCATTTTCAAATTCAAACCTAGCAGCTCTGCGAGAACAACAGGCGGTATCAAGATCGCTGTCCTGCCAGCGTATCGCAGGCTGCTAGAAGCACCTGAACCAGAGATAAGAGAGTCTTTGGCGTAATGCAGCAAGTAGTGCCTCTGCTAAGGAAGCCAACATGTAGTTTTACATGCCAAAGCAAAAGTTCCCATCAAATGTGGAATTGCTATTTTGAATAGTAGAGAGTGTGTTAAAGAAATCCATTCCTGACCAGATACACTTTCTCCACCCTGGAGGCAGTCACAGCCCCCATGAACTCTATATTCTTTGATGCAGTTTTGTGGCTTGGTTTAAATTTTGGGGGGGTTCTTTTTCAGTTCAATAGAAGACCTATTAGAAGACAAAACAGAAAACTGAAAATGGATGGCATATGTTCTAAAACCTTCAGCGTCCCCAGTTAGGATCTAACCAAAAATACTTCGTGTCCTGCTAAGTGCACAAGCAGGTAACTCATACCGTGGCTACCACTAGGCATGCTCTTCCTAAAGGCTGAACGGCAACATCTTGAACTGATGGTGACATGGATCTGCTGTGAATTCCAAGTGTTTTGCATACTGTGTGTATTTTCACAGGCAGCCAACAGATGAATTAACTTCAAAAGGCACAAAGACATTTTAGTACTACCATTTACCCTGTTTAGAAGAGTTTATCTGGGACGTGTCAAGTTTTTCCTTTTCCTTCAGGTATGTTTTATCTTCACAACTCTGTTGTGAATGCTTCTATACTCTCTCACAGAATCACAGAATCACAGAATAGTAGGGGTTGGCAGGGACCTCTGTGGGGAAGGGACCTCTGTGGGTCATCTAGTCCAACCCCCTGCCGAAGCAGGGTCACCTACAGTAGGCTGCACAGGACCTTGTCCAGGTGGGTCTTGAATATCTCCAGAGAAGGAGACTCCACAACCTCCCTGGGCAGCCTGGGCCAGGGCTCCGTCACCCTCAGAGGGAAGAAGTTCTTCCTCATGTTCAGACGGAACTTCCTGTGCCTCAGTTTGTGCCCATTGCCCCTTGTCCTGTCACTGGGCACCACTGAAAAGAGCTTGGCCCCATCCTCCTGACACCCACCCTTCAGATCTCCTTGTGGTGAGGCTCTTAACCTAGAGGTCAAGTGACTAACAGGGTAAAACGCTGAAGATCGTTACCTGTCAGTGGTGTTGAGAGCATCTCTGGAAGTAGATGACGACCTCGAATGTCCAGCACCACTAGTATGGGAACGTCTCCCTTTCGCTGAGGGCGTATCTAACGGCATCTCCCCCAAACCCTGCACAAAGGCAAACATGTGAATGAACATGGCTGGGGCAGTTCTGCCCTGCTGGAGACCCTCCCCCAGCCAGTCTGACAGCCACGCAAAGTACGGTAGCAAAGGGCATTGGATCCAGCGCACCGCGAGCGGTAACGGCGTGCGCAGGGCACCTTGCCGTGCTGCAGTCACTCGATCGCCGGCCCTGCTCTGAATGCACTCCTCCCGTTCCTGTCGGTTCACTGCCCACACCTAACGCCCGCTAGTACAAGTTTACACTTCTCAGCTGTTAAACAAGCGCTTTTCCACATACCTTTTCATGTAGATTGCTAACCAGTTCCTTAATGTAAGGCAAATCCTTGGTCGGCACATACTTTTCAAGCGTTTTGTCAAAGTCCGGATGAGTCATCACACTGAAGAGCATCTTTCGGCCGTAATACCTGCAGGGCACAGACCATGACACGCATCTGTGAACACGGGTGTGCTCTGTAACTCGACTGACAATTGCAGGTGCGTAATTCCAAACTATAAACGTGCAGGAAGACTGGTAGGATCTGGACGTGTAGCCAGACACCCTTGGCAACCTCTCACAACAATCTATGCTCAACAATCACTGTTTAATCACAGAATCACAGAATCACAGAATAGTAGGGGTTGGAAGGGACCTCTGTGGGTCATCTAGTCCAACCCCCCTGCCGAAGCAGGGTCACCTACAGCAGGCTGCACAGGACCTTGTCCAGGCGGGGCTTGAATATCTCCAGAGAAGGAGACTCCACAACCTCCCTGGGCAGCCTGTTCCAGTGCTCCGTCACCCTCAGAGGGAAGAAGTTCTTCCTCAGGTTCAGACGGAACTTCCTGTGCCTCAGTTTGTGCCCGTTGCCCCTTGTCCTGTCACTGGGTACCACTGAAAAGAGCTTGGCCCCATCCTCCTGACCCCCACCCTTCAGATATAATCAACAACCAAATTAATGAGAACAGTCTTCCATCTCAGCTGTCTGGAAATGGGATGGTCCAGCCCGGTCAGTCGGATGGCGTGGATCCCAGTGCCAGCACTCCCTCCATGCCCAGCAGTGTCCTTCGGGCCCCTCGTCTCCCTGCAGCCAGGGCGGGCACAGCCGCAGCGGTCAGGCAGGTAGCTCCTGTCACACAGGCTAGCTTCACAGCCGTGGCAGTGTCAGAGTAACGCCTGGACTCGATGATCTTAAGGGTCTTTTCCAACCTAAATGATTCCCTGATTCTGTCCTTTGTCACTGCAGCTACGCAGAGGTTTCAGCCACCTGGAATGCGCTTATCCTCACTATTAACCTTACTAACCTTGTTTGTTGTGAACTGTCCTGTGCAAACCTGGCTACCGCAGGGAAAATCCGATCAGCCACAGCTTTGGTTCCAGACAGAATCCGCTCCGGTCCCATACGTTCCACAATGTCCGACAGGTGCTGGGCTGTGCATCTTCTCACCGCTGAATGCAGGTGGCTACAGAAAACACCGCTGCTTAGCGAAAACCCATCACAGGAGCTAAAGCACAGTATTTATGTGCTCTAACAAGCATGGTACACAAGTTTTCTTTTCTCATCTTTAGTATAATCTACAACTAGTATACTGCTGATATGCAGACACTTATTCTGGCTGCATACTGTATTTAAAAAGATAATGCATATGATTAAATTTCATTTCATTCACTTGAAATCCCAAACTACAAGAACGCAGAATGAAAACTGAAAAATTATACCACTTTTTGTTTAAAGTCAGTTTCAACCTCTAACTGCAGCTTTTGGATTAATAAAACTAGTAGTTTTTTTTCTTTTTAGAATTTAATTTCTAGTTTTCCTTAAAATAATTGCAAAATGTTTTAGAAAGCCCGCTACTACATGTTCTTTCCATCAACTTTATGAAAAACTAGTCCCTGTGCTCAGAGACACATCTTATGTATTTTATATCAAAATAAAATTAAATAAAGCAGTATCCTATTGACCTCAAGCATCTTGCAGAAGTCTATTTCCTACAAAACAAGGGCCATTAAACACCTACACTGATGAAAATGGGACAGAAGCTGGAATCAATTTTCAAACTCTTGCAGCAAACGAATCTTTTATATAAATTCTGCTGTACCTGCTGATCTCACATGTTGTCAGAGTACACAATTCTACAAGTCCAAACTTTTCCAACTGTATTTTTATCTTTGGATTAAAAATCCTACTCTGAGGACAGTTTCACTGCACAGTAAATGAGATATTTGTCTGGCTCATCGTTCATAGGGAAAAACAGTTTAAAGGAGAGAGCTAAAGAACAGAACTGACTTGGCAAAGCACAGCAGTGGCTCCCCAGCTTTGCAGTTTGCCGTGACCACCCAGCGTTCTTCCTGGATGACCACATTCCCAAATTAACCCAGCTGAACCCAGGACACCATGGGAAAACAAGAACTCTGAGGCTTACAGACCTCACTACGTGGAAGCAAGTAAGCCCCTGCTCCCCACAAATGCTACCCATGCAAAATAGCTTGACTTTTTTTTATATGCACTAAGACTTTAGAATTAAACACAATTCACACAAATAAGAAACCTGATTTTAAAGTTTCTGAAATACAGTCACTTTCAGATCTATGCCTGGAATCGTGCTCTTGGATCAAGCCTCTGCTCACAGAGGTGGGTGTACAGCAGTAGTTCAGTATCTTTAGAGCACTATCTCACAAAAGCAAGCAAAAATGTTTTAATTATTCTTGCTGGTGAAGTCCAAAGCAATTCTGTAGCTGATGAAGAATCAGCGTATATACCTGCTCAGGGTTGCAAGCATTAATACTTGCGATCACAATAGGCTCAAAATGTGTTGAGCAGAATTCTATAGGTGAGTTTTAAAAAGTCTGAAGAATTGTAAGCAAAACGATAATGTTAACTTTAATAAGTACGTTGTGATGAATACAAGCAACTCAATATATAAGCCAAATTTAGAATATATATCCTTTTTTATAATTACACAGTCCTATCAGAACCTTTTCACTGCTTACTGAAGACATGTCATTTTTCTCCCAGATTTCCACTTTGAAAGACAATTCTGGCACTCATTGTTGCAGCCTCTAGAGACGGTGCTGCCCGGGCTGTGTTGCCCATACGGCCAGCGCCTCCTGAAGCCAGATCTAGCGAGGCTGCAACTCGCAGCGCTCTTCCACCGACGTGCCACGCACTGCAAACACGCTGTGATCCGTGGCTTAGGCACCGCTTTGACTGAAGGCTTCTCAGCAGTGAAGAAATGAATCCCTGCTTCAAATGCTGTATTCAGACTCACAGCATTTTCAGGTATGCTTTAGATACCTGAAAAGGTATCTGAGTTCACAAATCGAAGGGGGTCGAATCTTTACTGGTCTAGAGAACTCATAAGGACAGGTCAGCGTGTCTGAATCTGCGACTGCGCGGGGGTTTCAGCCTGAGCCAGTTATGACTGTGAGTGCTGCTGGGCCAGGGATTTCCAAAGAACAGATGGGAGCACCTAGAGAGGCCACTTTCCATGGCTACTGAATTAAAGCAATGGGCAGTTGCTGTCTGCTGCTCTTAAATTCACAAATACAACTACATGCAGGTATATTTCAAAAATAATTTAAATCCCAAGGCTGACATTTGCCTTTCAGTTTAAAGTCGAGGTAATTGCCGTGGGGTTCTCCCTGGCCTGCGGGAGACAGAGTCAATGTACCCCACAGCTACCAGCTTCCCAGGAAACAAAACAGGAGACAGAATATTTTGAATCAAGATGAACTCCTACAATCTGTAGCTGTGCAGAAAGTTTAAGGATTGATTTATAGCGTAGCACCCGAAATATTTCATGGAAAGGATAGCCTACAAGAAACATAGCCCACGAAATGTCAGACAGGTAAGAGATGAAGTACAAGCAGGTAACTAGATCAAACATCTTGGACTGCCTAAGGGCTTGATGAAGCATTGCTATTAGAGTGAACGAGGATATAGAAGAAACTGAAAAACATACTTAACAGGGGAAGTGAAAGAAAGGCATGTGAGTTCTGCTACAGACTGAAGCGAGCTAGAGGTTAGCATCAAAGCCTGCAACCAGAAATGGAAGCTTGTCATGTCTGAGGCACTCAAGAAAAGAAAGGCCACCACCACTGTAAAGAAAATCAAAATGCAGACAAAAAAGACTATTAACCAGCTAAGCCTGGAGAAGAACGGGAAATCAACCAAGACAGCTGCAGCTAGAGATTTGTGAGTTATAAATCATCTTTCTAAATAAAAAGTAGTGCTGAAGAACTGGGAAGGACAGGCGTTTGATTGCGGGGCAAATGAAAAATGAGAATGCTATGCGAGCTTGACTAGGCAAAGCTAAATAGCCCTTCCCTAAGAATACCACGCTAACAGCAAATGAAATTACTCGAGTCTTGCAGAATGACCAGAAAATACACCAACCTCCAAAATCAACCGCTGAGTTTTTACATAACATACAGAAAGAAACAGAGGGGCTAGATTTTACTTTTATGCCAACTAATGTTGCCCTGGGTAGAAGTTTTGCAGAGCTGACTTAGTATACTTTCAAATTTCTGCCTATTCTATTTTGATTTCTTTAAAAGACTCTATTTGATAAATTTAAGCTATTCACAAGTTATTTCTTTATAAAGTCTTTATAAGAATTACCTTTGCCCTCCATTTATAAGAGAACAAAGTGCACGTGCTGGAGTCACATTATTAACCATAGCCTTCAGTGCTTTGTCTACCTCTTCCCTTATAAATGTGTTGGATTCACCAGCTTTGTGCAAAAGGACCTTTACTGTATTATCTAGTTCTTGATCCATGCTCTTTTTCAGGTAGGTGAACAAATCCCCTAAACAGACCACAGCAGCTCGAGAAACACCTGAGCGTAAATTCTTGACCTGCACACAGGAAAAACCCAAACAAACAATGAATAATGTTTATAAAATATACTTTAAAATAAGTAAAGCTTAATGCTTCCCTTTGAAAGTTTTAAGTAACATTAAAAGTAACTGAGAAACACATTTCTGACTTGATTCACAACGTGTGAGAATTAAAATAGATACACAGGAAAATGTTATAAAGTTACACTCTAAATTTTTTCAGTCTCTTAGCAAATCAGATCAAACCAGCTGTTGGTATCTGAAGCATGAGCTGCTTTGCTGAACAACAGGCTCATCCTTTTGAGACTGTCCAACAGATTCCACTGCATCCCAGAGCTACAAAATACATCTACACACATATAGTGGGTGAAATATTCTGACAGGAAAGTTTAACCTCTTGTGCCACAGCCAAACTCGTTTCGTGCAGCTTCGCAGTCAGAACAGTCGCATGGTAGGCAGACAAACATCTAACACAGTTCAGACCTTCAATTTTCTTCTCCCTAAGTAAAAAAAAGTTTAGATTCAAAACATTTGCAAATTGTCATAAACATATTAAAACCTAGAATTCTAAGACACCAAATAGCACACGAATCAGACTGTGAAATAAAGCAATGACATGTAACATAGGAAATTCTTTCAAGTGAGTCTTTCTTTTAATGTGGCAGTAGGACCAGTTTAGCACACCAGTCTCTCATCTCTTTCCTACAGTTCTGCCCACAGCTTGCACTGGAGCCCACTAAAGGGTTACTTTCCTTCCCAGAGTCAGAAAGGCAGCAGCCCTGTAACCCCATCTCGCCAGGCAGAGCACAGTGAAGCCTTGCACACCATGGAAAGCGGCAGGAAGGTATTGGTGGGGGTCCTCTCCAGAACAGGGCTGAAACTCAGAGGTCTCTAGGTGTCTCTGCAAGCTGAGCTGTTCAGCCTCAGTTTACAACAGTTACAGTTTAATCTAGGCTTGGACTGAAATAAACTCTTTGTTTTTCTTTTTTCTGATATGTGATCCTTGTGATCCTTCTCATTACTGTTGATGTTATGTCCACTTTGCCGGGTTTTTTTAAAGTAAGTTATCCAAATAAACACCTTCTACATCAGACTCAAGTTGCACCCACCAGTCATCATCAGCCAGAAGCGTCAAGGCTTCTGCCAGGGCCGTGTCTGGTTTTGTGAAGGGCTGCACTTCTGATGGGTCCATTATTTCTGGGCTGAGAGTGACTGATGGCGTCCGGTCTTTGTAGCGCCCTAGTGCCCCAAGAGAAATTTCATCTACAAAGTCATGAAGCATAACAAATAATTAGCATCATCTGAAGAAAGCAATTCATTCAAAGGAAGGAAATATTCAGAGTCTGAGCTATATACAGAGTGCTGCTGCTAAGGGACCAGGCTTTCAAGAAGACCGCTTTCCCAGTTACATCCTTCAGCATTTCATTCATGTGAATGAATTTTCTCGCAAACAACCACCACTTTAAAAAGTCACAAACACAAATGTAGGGGGTTGTTTGATGTAAAAATGGATGCACCATGTGCTAAAACACAGTGAGGCAAGACACACTATAGTAAAACTTAAGAGAGACACTCGAGACATTCTGAAGACTTTGGACCATCATCAGTAAGAGCTATTTTGAAAAGATGTCTACTGCATATCTGCAAGGCATCTCAGCGACAAAATGTACACAACAGTGTTTTTCTTGGGAGAGAAGGGGTTGCAAGAGAGTCAATTTGCCATTAATACATGACATCATTTAATTTGCTGAGCAAATTATGTTTCAAACACCTTCCTAACAAATTACAGATGAAAAATGTTTCCTGGGAGCAGCGATGAATTCCTATCCCCTTCACCAACCTCCCTAAAGTACATTGCACATATTAATCATATTAAACCTGATTGTATTTTGGAACTGTCACGCTCCACATATCCAAATATTCTAACAGTCTTTATATTTAGTTTACTGGAACAGCTTACCAGAATCTAGCAAGGCTGAATATTTTTTCTTCTTCAAACTGGATGTTCTTTTCAATGCAGGATTCAAGGTAACATTTTCTAATGACAAAGATACATTTCTTGATGATGTTAATACATCCCCACAGAGATTTAACTCTAGAAAATAGAAGGAAATGACCAAGCTACAACAATGACAAATCAGAAAAAAGGAAAAAACTAGTATTTTCAGTCCTAGTTTGTCTTTTGAAAATTTTCTTGACTTCAGTCTTTCAAATATTTCCCCTAAGCACTTTATTCTCCATCATTTGTATTATAAGACTAAGAACAAACGACTGAAGAGTAAACTGCGGTGTAAAATTAATTGTGGTAACACCTTACGTCACACTGAACAGTCATGATTTTTGGTAATGATCACAGAATCTGAATTCCCATTTCAGCAGCATTTAACAGTATAATATTCATTTAAGACAGATGCTCATCCTCACTTTCTGTTGTTATTTTCTCTAGTTCATTCAGCTGAAGTCTTGCCCAAGGGTTTTCTTCCTTTTCTTCGAGGTCTCTGACCTCCTGATGTTCTTTATGACTGCGTTCTTTTTCTTCTTTTTTCTTCCGCCTCATCTTATCCTGGGCAGATTTTGACATGGCAACTTTTATCTACAAAAAATTAATGCACCCATTATGATATGCAATATAACATAACGTACAAGTTACCCAGTAACTTGTTACCCAGTTCTTGATATTGCCTAAGGCAAGCATGGAAAATTATTATTTTCACCATTATTCTACAAAGGAAAAGGAAATTATTCACATAAATGTTAAATCCAATCCTGAAAAGAGCTGAAGGTCTGCTTTCTGCATGATAAGTAGTCCCATGGCAAAAAAAAGCAACATTCCAGGTTTACAAATTTAAGGGAAATAATCACTTACTCTAAAATATCTGAATAGTTAAGAGCACTAAGGACTCCTTGGCAGCACTGTGTAGTTTCCTACAACTTCAACTAACAAATACACAGTCTGTGGGGTTTTTTTTAACAGTGGTTTTTAACAGTGTGATCTGACCCTACTCTCTTATATGTTTAAGACACTTACAGTTCCCTCATGAAAACTCAGTAACATTTAATACATTCCTCCATTTACTCCTTTGAATTTGATCCCTCCACATACTCGTATCTTCAGTGGAAATCAGAAAATTAAGACACTGTTTATCATTAAAGTTTTAGTAATCTTAAAATGTTATTTTAAATGCTTTTTGATAGACATGTGATTTTCATTTCAAATTGTTTAAAATCTGTACCACTACTTCATTCAGATAAATCTTGCACGATGTTATACAGATGTAAATAGTATTTAACAAAACAGCACCAGTCCTCGTCAAACCGTATTATGGGACAGATACTCAGACAGTGGTTTTTAAAAAGCTTATGAGTGGAGTGAGATCAAAACGCCCACCCAGAAGAAAGGGCATGATCCAACCCAGCCAGTTCCTCCTTCCACGCCTCCATGGCCTGTGGGGTCGGAGCAGAGGAGGCTTCCCAGCCCCGCTCCCTCCCACAGCCCTTCTCCCAGAGACTGCGCGTTAGGTGGGACGCTTCCACCACAGTTTGTTACTGTAAAAAATCCAGGTGGGACCAAAAGAAGCAGCTGGGAGAAGCACCTTGATGGCTGCGGGCTGCTTTGGGACCCGAGGTCCGGACGCAAGCCCCGGCACGGAGGGAAGCGCTCACCAGGCAAGTGCCCCCCTGGTTCCTAAGATTTTGGGAGATGGGTCTTTCTCAGCTGTTCTGGCTGAAGCTGTTCTTCCTTGGGTGGAGGGTTACAGACCTGAGCAGGAGCCTGAGCCTCGGTGCCTAACACCGTACGCCAAACCAGCTTTCGCTCGGACCGTTAACCTGCAGAGCTAGGCAGGAGATGACTTTACTGCACTCACTGCATCCCCAGTAAATATACACTTACTTGGACAAAGCAGAAAAGCTTCCCTAACAGAGACAAAAAAGAGATTTGAAGGTCTAACTGTAAATCATTCATCCAGGATAGCAAAAATATGGTTCAGTGCCCTTTGATTCCAGCATCGCCTTGAAAATGGGTCTTGGGATCAACTACTGAACCACTGGCAAATACTGGTGGATCTGCATGGTGTGCGAAGAGATCCTCATACCCTTTGTTTCTAAATCTAAAATATCACAGGACCAAAACCCACTTTCTGCAGTCCACTGAACTTGGTACTGACAGTACTGGTAACTGGCACCATTTGTAATGGCCCATTTGCGATGGGAACACAAGTTTCCCATGGACTATGCCAAGACCAAACTGATCTCCCATGCTGTTGCCCATCAATACGTGACACCACATTCCTGTCTTATTTAAACTGCATGAACAATCTGCAGTACGTCACGTTACTGAGAAAACAGAACCCATTTTTTAACACTTGCTAGAAAAGTAACAGTGAATTACACAAAACTTCTGTTTTAGGCTTAATACAACATTCTGCAAACATCAGAAGAAAGAAACTGTATTCTCATTACTGTTTGCAAAATGGTTAAATAAGCAGTCAGAGCAAAAATTTGCAGCCAGTCAACCAGATGTGGGCAAATTGTTAATCCAGCTTTAGTCTTCATAATAATAATAATAATAATATAAGCTTTAGTCTTATAATGGAACTCAACAAATAACACAAATAAATAAAAGGACTTGTATACTGCTGCAAGTCACCTGAGCTATGAGTTAATCCATAATAACCAAACTTCATTTACCGTCACATAGAGACTGCAAAACTGCATTCAGCTGCATCCATACACACAGAAACAGCAAGCCAGACAACGAAACGCTTCTGCAATTCCTACCTTGCTTTCATTTTCAACCTGGAGATGAGAAGCGCTGTCCTGCTGGGTGCTTCTCCCACAGATCCCCGATGACGGCTCTGGCTCCTCTTTGACCGCCTGCTCATCTCCACTCGCTGCGCACGCTACGGCCTGGCTGCATGTTCCTGCAGAAGGTGGACTTCCAAACGCACCTGGAAGGCATATCGTGCTGTGCCCTCACCAAAACAACCACTTTACTCAGCAGAACTCAGTAAAAACTAAAGAAAACCTAAAGTAATTCAAGAAGATAACAAAACTGCTATTAACGCTACTACTGCCAATTTCCTCCTAAAGGCACTCTCACCTTAATTTTTTTATTCCCATTTAAAGTGGAGATTGTTCACAATCTAAAATGTTGTAAGAAACTTCTCCTTCCCCCACTCTATAAATGTACATTTTCCCTCATTTTAAAACCATGATGAGATATAGGAGATAATTTTGGTTTTGTAATAGCTTTACCAAAAATTGCAACTGCATCTTCAGGCAGGACACTTGGCGAAATGAAATCCAGATTGTTCATCTGTGGAAAAGTACACGCTGACTCTGCAAGACCTTAAAAAAATATTAAAAAAATGCACAATGTAAATCATGCAGTTTATGCTTTGGTACATGTTTTAGTCTTCTAAAATGTCATCATACACTGACATCTGAATTTCTCACTTTTATGAACTGGTATATTTTCAAGTTACTGAAGTTAATAGCATTTATTAAATACAGAGATCATCAAAATCACGGAAAGCATACAGCAAATAAAATTTCTGCCAAAAGATCATAAAGAAAACCAACATTTGTATGAGGATTTTTAAATCAACTGATTCCACTGAAAAAAGCAGTTTCTAACTCACTTCGTGGAAGAACAGAACTCTTTCTTATATAATTCAGCAGAATTGAATCAAAACAAAATTTGCCAAAGTATTTCTTCTCCCCAAGCAGCACTTGCTGTTGTTTCCACATAAATTAGCAGTCACTCCAACTCTCCACCGAAGTGGATGACGCATTTTATGTATTTCTATATTGACCACAGTAGTTGCAAATAAACATGATAGTTTGTGACCAAGGAAGAGCACGGTTTGCGTTTGCTCTTTAGCCTGAATAATCTGAAATTCCTACACAGAAAAGATATTTCAGCCAAGCCTGTCTGAGCAAGGGCACAAATGAAGGCAGTGGACTACTGGGCCACCTCAGCTGTGAAACACTCGGTGAACCGGCAGCCCCCTGAAAGGCCACGTTGCCAGGTCCCCGAGCCCACGGCAGGCGCCAGCATCGCAGCAGCCCGGGGCTCCGGACAGCTCTGGACGTGTTCTGCCCCCACTGCAGTCTTGAGCTTGCCAAAAACAGTTACAGGCAGGAGTATGAGAGATGCCTCTTTCTTTTACAAATCACCCAATTACACAGCCTGGAGGAGGCTGGGGGGAGACCTTCTCGCTCCCTACAGCTACCTGACAGGAGGTCGTAGTGAGGTGGGTGGCTTTTAATTTAATTGGCAGTCTAATTTCAGGTAATGTCAGAAAAAACTCCAACTTGTTAGTGTAAGTATAAAGACTAGAAAAGAGGAAACCACGCTAAACATCCTGGAACTTCTTGTCTATAAAACCCATTTTACAAAAGGCGGGGAGACCTTCTCGCTCCCTACAGCTACCTGACAGGAGGTCGTAGTGAGGTGGGTGGCTTTTAATTTAATTGGCAGTCTAATTTCAGGTAATGTCAGAAAAAACTCCAACTTGTTAGTGTAAGTATAAAGACTAGAAAAGAGGAAACCACGCTAAACATCCTGGAACTTCTTGTCTATAAAACCCATTTTACAAAAGGCTATACGCAGCCTCGGTTTTTGCCGTAAATGAGAGCCCAGATGAACAGCAAACTCACAAACCTTTTAAATGCTTAAAATTTCCTTGGTGTTCCATATTTAGACTTCTAAAAATAGGACGTGACACTTCTCCTTGCTTCTGGTCGGCAGAATCTCCACATCCGTTGCCGCCGTACAAACGCTGGCCAACTAGGCTAACGTTAGAAGTCCCCTTGTCATCCAGTGCTAGCCATGCAAAAGGAAAAAAAAAAATATTAAAAAAAAATAGAAACAGTTTTTCCTGTGCATTACAGGTTTCTTACATCGTCACATTTTCAGAGACCCTCAGCCTGGTGTTACACATAGAGTATGAGCACTTTTGCCTACAGAAGTACGAGCATTTCAGCAAGGATGCTCAGCCTCTGTTCCTTTTTCACATGCAAAGCCTTGCTTCTACAGATAAACTCAGGTTGGAAATCTAACTCAAAGCTTGAAAAATTATTTTTTAGTTTAAAGTCTTTCACATATGAACAACTGAATACTAAGTAATTCAGCATTAAAAGCCAAATTAAGTCACAAGTCAGCTAAATGAAAATAGTAAAATACTGGTTAAAACACAAGAAATCTTTCCATTTACCTACCCTAGAAGTCACAAAACACATTTTTATGTTACAGTTGCAGACAATAGAAACTGAGCATTTTAATGCCTGCAAAACATTCTCCATACGTTTTCGTTGTGGTTAAAAAAACAACAAACACCACCACTAATTACTTCAGGAATCCTTTAAAGGACCATTTCTGCTTTTCCAAATATCATTAAAGTATCTAAAAAGTCACAAGTATTTTCACAGATGTGCTTTTGCTACATATTCCACAAATTCCCAGGAACCAACCCCGCATTCAACCGACGGGACTGACAGGCACGACCAAGGTGACGCAGCTCCAGGAACGCCAGCAACCAGAGGGACGACAGGTAAGGGACAAATGAATTTCCAGAACAGAAAAGAGCAAAAGCGCTAACTCTGAAATAAAGAAAATAAAAAAGCTGAAGGAGGAGCCACAGACCAACTGACCCATGTGCTGGGCAAGTCCGTTCCCGGGAGTGCACCAGGGCAAATAATGCATTTGGAAGCACCCACCAGAAACCAGTATGACCAGAGAAACACGGCCTGCTTTTATGCCCCAGCAACAGACCTTAGGAGCGGGCAAGGAGCGAGAGATGCCACCTGTCATCCCAGGTGTCTGTACACAGCGTAGTTACCCGAAGCTTCATTCTCCAAGTGGAGGGATGCATCAAGCGGGGTTCAGGCGGTGGCACTGAATATCACAGAATATCACACAGAATATCACAGAATAGTAGGGGTTGGCAGGGACCTCTGTGGGTCATCTAGTCCAACCCCCTGCCCAAGCAGGGTCACCCAGAGCAGGGGGCACAGCACCGCGGCCAGGCGGGGCTGGAATATCTCCAGAGAAGGAGACTCCACAGCCTCCCTGGGCAGCCTGGGCCAGGGCTCCGTCACCCTCAGAGGGAAGAAGTTCTTCCTCGGGTTCAGCTGGAGCTTCCTCTGCTCCAGTTTGTGCCCATTGCCCCTTGTCCTGTCGCTGGGCATCACTGCAAAGAGTCTGGGCACCAATACTCTGCCCAAACGGCTGAATTCAAATACAGGACAGCAAACGGGAGGCATACAGGCATGCTCGAGGACAGGATCTGAATTCAAGGAACTCCGGGTAAAGTAGAAGAAATGATCCAAGAAGAACCAGTTTGCAATACAACAGGAGAAGTAGAAGACTCTACAGGTAGGACAGGACTAATTCTGTGTGTTTTACAACACTGCAACCATAATTACCTACTCTAAAGCTTCCTAGTTTCTCTGCAATCAGAGACACTTCCAGGGAGCAGCTCTTCACAAATGAACAGACGCCTCACACGGGTCAGACACCAGCATCCCTCCCCTCTGACGCCCAAGGAGGTCCTAGGCTGTAGCTCCAGCAGACACCTGCGCTTCAGACCACTGCAGCCGGCCAAGGCGAGCCCCAGCTACCAGCACAACCAACCAGCCACGTAAAGACAAGGTGAGCAATAAGCAGCAAGAACACAAATGTACAAGGGTAGGTAGGCAGCTGCACAGGGACACGTCGTAAGCCTTCTACTCCTCTCAACGCTAAGTGCCCAAGGGGTATCGTACAGGTACTGCATTTTGGGAAAGCAGTAGATCTGTTGAAAACAGCCTACATGACAGCAGTTAAAAAGTCCACAAAGTCTGACCTGTGAAGGAAAGCTAGAAAAAAATGGGACTTAGTCTAAAGGACAGAAAACAAAAGACGGGAAGAAAAATATAAAAAAAGTAGCTGCTGGAAGAAAAAAATACTCCAACCTTTGATATAAAATAAAAATGTAATGAGATCAGTTAGAGCAAGAGGGATTTATGTGCAGCGTTAGCAAAAAACTTTCATCGGATGAGACCAGTTAAATACCAAACTGATTTTTACAAGTTCTCTAAGTTTCAGTGTAGAAATTCAAGAGGTTTTTGAGATCTGACTTGTGTGATGGGCCAAGCCCAGTCTGTGGTGGGAGCAAAGGACTTCCCTTTGGCAGTCAGCTGTGCATGTATTCCATCGACTCTGTCAGCAGCAGGCTGTCAGCGCTGTGCCTTCTGCTTGATCAGCTGGCTTGATAAGCAAAATAAATGTGCTGCTCACTATTTCACACTGGAGGTCAGCTTCTCACAGGAGGTCTTCTCATATAACAAATGCAAAATCATTAACCACAAGACAAATTACTATGTCAGTGCAGTCTTTAATTTCTGACTTCAGCTGTTATCTGACGAACGCATTTACTAATTCATCCTGAGCAAAGCGGCCTTAGCTGAAAGGAGGAGCAATAGCTTCAATTTCTCAGAAAAGATTATGAGTCTCAGTAGCAACTCCTGTTTTTTTAATGTGATGGCTTTGCAAAGCCAGGCCTGTAAGATGCCCTCCAACCTAACTGAACTCAGTTTTGGAAACTTTTTGGAGTAACTCCTTAGCTGCTGAGGCTGCAATAGGGTACAACGGAGCAATCATTGGGAAGAGAGGTCAGAAAAGAACTTTGTGGACACAGCTCCCCCAGTTCCTTTTCTCTAAGGAAACATCTCCATCCAGCTGAATCAAAATTGACTAAACATCAATAATGATGAACAACCAGTTTCTGCCCATTACTGAAACCTGCAGTTACCTGTAGTTCAGTGTATGTGTAAAATGGAACAGCATCACTTCACCTGGAACCTCCTCTGGCAGGGGGCTGGACTAGATGATCCCCACAGGTTCTTTCCAACCCCGACCATACTGTGATTCTGTGAACTTCAACTTCCTGCCAGGAAATTAAAATGCCTGCAACATTTTGACCTTTCCTACTCTTCTCCAGCTGGTGGCCAAGGAATTTTCACACAATACTGCACCGAATTTTGAAGTGCACATACTCACAGGTGGCACTCACATTAAGACAGTTTATCTTGACACAGAAAGGCAGAAACCCTCGAGTTCCTTCTCACCTGCGGTACCGCAGTATCATCTCCATCTGACCAAATAGCACCTAGCAATCACCTTTTTTTAAGTGCTGAAGGGACACGAGCTCATTGAACAAGAACTGACACATCAAGTGACCATCCTGTAAGGTATATACTGATATGCCCAGTGAAATACCTGCGCTGGAGTTATGTTCAGCCACATCTGGGTCTCTCTTTCTTGCCGAAGGTATCCTTGCAGGCTGTGATTTGCTGCCAAGTAGTGGAAAAGAGTCAGACCTGTTCAAATATAAACCAAATTTTTATTGGGTACAATTCTACACGCTAGTGACAGCCCAGCTAAATAACACTTTGTAGCAAAGACAACAACAGATTTCAGTTTCTCCTCCCCGATGTACTTGGTGGACAAATATTTCCAGTAATACTTCGAAAATGTTCACACTGAGTACAAAAAGAGAATGAATTCAGTAGAAATTATTTGATGAGCAGGTCCATTATGAAGAACACCATGAAGATGACCCTTAAGAGCAAACTTTACGCCAAGAGTAAATTTACTATAGGTTCAAAAAGCTAAGGAGTCGTTTGGCCTAGGGGACTGCCGATGGCAGTTCTGATCTGGCAAGGAACGGCAAAGGAGAGTGACCAAACCCACCACCCCTCCACCTCCAGCAATGAGCTGTTCTCAGCTCCGTGTCTAGTGAACAGACGTTCACCAGGAATATGCTGTTACCTACAAGACAATCCCGATGCTTTGTTTTTAAAATCGTGCATTTGAATATTAGAGATGACTGGACCCCGAGCCTGGGCTGTCAAACACCGCGCGTACCCAGGCAACAGCCGCGGGAACCAGCAGCTCTCCCGCTCTCTGCTGGGACTGCAACGCACCCGACCACGGGTCCTGCTTTTCAGACCCCGAGGACGCCCCACGCTTCAGAATCTTCACTGACATCAGTATCAAGCTCCCATTGCTCGGGGTAGTTTATTGGTGGACAAACTGATCCTTCTAAAAGTAAATACACAGAAGCCACCCGCATTTTTGTTGCCCAACTGCACAGATTTTGTCCATTTCCAGTGCTTGCAAACCAGCATCTGAACTAAACTCTCTGGAATTTTTATGAACATTCCAAGGCTTTTGACATCTTCCGGGATATATCCTGCCACTTCTACAAATTCCTGCCAGATGTCCCCTCTCTTCCTTGCTCGTTCAGAACTCCTGCACTGTGAATCCTGGAACACATTAAGCTTGTGTCTCACTGCATGCTGGAAACGGTCTGTTGTGCAGAACGTGCCCCAGCCAGAACCTTGCCTGGAAAAACATCTTATGTAGAAGTTTCTAGTCTTGACTTTTTAGGTATTCTAGCATTTTAATGTGTTACTTTAAAGCTTATTTTTAAAACTGTGATTCAGCAGTAATGCATATAGAAGTTTATTTCTTTTTAGAAGAGCTCTGTGAAGGCATTTTAAATTAACAACAGTCTGTCAGCAACAAAATGGAAACAGTTCACGTTTTGCAATAAGAAGACACATCTACATCGTCTTCCTCTTACCACAAAACACCAACCCCTTCCTTCTTCAATTTCCAGGCTATAACAATCAAACCTTATCCTTCCTCTTAACTCATTCTCCTTCTTACTCATGCGTCTAGGCCATGGTTCACATACCTTCTATGGCAGGCTAAAGTCTTAATAAAATATTTACTACCGCTGGCAGTACTTTGCTGCACTGTGTTACTATGGCTGCCACAGGGAACTCTTTCAAACTAAAAGCCATCACAAACTAGAATAATATAACTAAGCAGCTATTGCATAGAGCGATACATTTTTAGATAGGAAAATAATTCCCATATAAAAATCAAGCTATGAAGCAAAGCAATCTTACATAGAAAATGTACTACAGATTTTTTCTGCGTGTGATAATTTCACCGCAGCGTTAAGGTACGAGTTGCACTCACGTTCTTCTCCTTCTCGGGGGGACTGTGGACACAGGAGAGGTCAGAGACTCCTGGCTGCACACTCCGCTCTCGCCGTAGGAGCTCGCGCTCGGGGAGGACGCGTCCGCAGACAGAGCAAGTTTAAGGCCAGAATCGGGACTTTCAAGATCTGAAATGTTGCCGCTTAGCTTTGCCCTCTTCTTAGCTGCGCTGTTTCGTAGAGAGCGGAGTGAATTCTGCATCTAAACAGGAGTGAAAACAACAGGTTTTCTTCACTGCACGGGAAAAAAGCTTTTTTCAGCAAAAGCAAGTGTGTCCTGAGTGCCCTGGTGAGGCCTCATCTGGAGTACTGTGTCCAGTTCTGGGCTCCCCAGTTCAAGAAAGATGAAGAGCTACTGGAGAGAGTCCAGCGGAGGGCTACAAGGATGATGAGGGGACTGAAACATCTCCCCTACGAGGAAAGGCTGAGGGAGCTGGGCTTGTTCAGCCTGAAGAAGAGAAGGCTGC